CTGGATAGTCGTTAGACGAAAACCAGTTACCATTGAGGTGTCAATTACTACATTATGATGGGAATCTGAAGGCAAAGTCGTACTGCTGCCAGCTGGATGGAGTGTGACAACAGTAAAGTGTTTCCCGCAGATGACCAGCAGTGCCATGCTCATAATGCCTTCTCAATCGAACGGTGGAAGTGGGTTAGAAAGCTTGGCCCCGAAAATAACACACTCCACCACATACCACATGGTCTGCCAGTCAGGAAGTGTTCCTTCATTTCTCACTTATTTCCGACCATCCGAACATAAAACTACAAGCGTTTAAAACAACCATACACTAAAGACTGAGTGTGGCAGACCTCCAGCAGATGTCCGACGAGGTCTGCGATCACACAAATCTCTTTCACATAACTTAAGAAGAAATAGCCTTCCACGATGAGGACAGCCTGGAAGTGTCAGCCACCACCACAACTCAATAAGCACTCAACTTTACTCACACTGCTATCCACCTCCACCATCTTTACCTCCTAATCTCTCTTCACATCTCTCAATTAACGATACTACATCATCTTCAATTCCTCCTAGTTCTCCACCCTTCGACAACAGTCAGAGACCACAGAACAGAATCCTTCGTCTCCTTAAACCACGCTACAAACTACATATTGGAGCCTTCAATGTCTGCATCCTCCATGAAATCGGTCAACAGGCTTCATCGACCAACACTCTAGCAACTCGGAAAATGGATGTCTGCTGTATTGTTGAGACCCGCGGAAAGGACCCAAGTGTGGTCATTCACCTAACCTCTACCGACCAATCTGCTTAATCAGCGAGATCCACCCTCTGAGTTTCTGGTGATTAGATAGCTAGCTCTCGCTGTCTCGTAGGTGTAGGCGTAGCAATAAGCATTAGGACAGAAAACTCACTAATTGTCTGCGTCCCAGCTAGCGCAAATTTCAGACATCAAGAAAGACACTGTCTGTTGTGGCGTCCACCAAGCTCAACTCAGTGGTGGACACAGATAGACCACATTGCTATCAGTCATCGCTGGAGATCATTGATGGAAGACTGAAGCTCCTTCTGCAGTACGTGTTTGGATAGCGATCACGCGTTGGTCAGAATGCGCACATGTCTGCGTCTCAATGGATGTAAGTATAATTTGGTAACAAAGCCACTACGAGTGCTGCTGAACAACGTAAACACCAGAGCCGTGTTCATCGAGAAATTGGCTAGGCAGTTATCGGAACAAACGACTATCACTCATCGAAAAGAAGCTTGGTGCCATCTTGAGTCTGCTGTCAAAGCAGCGCTGAAGAACGTAGCCGACTGCAGAAGAGTGGCCAAGAAAAGGCCAGTGGATATCAGCAACTTCCTCCGAACTAATGGATGCACGTGAATGCATCCCTGCAGGCCCCAAGTACAATGAAGAGCGAACCCAACACAAAAGTAGATTGAGAAAAGTCTGCTCAGCGACTGCGAACAGTGGTGGACGTTGAAATTTAGAGAGATGGCAAGACCTGTTGCGACTGGTGACAGTAGACAGTTATTCAGACTTACATAGGAAAGTGGGGAGAAAAGGTTACCAGTGGTTTATGAGGCTATAGCGGAAAGTACTGATCTGCAATTCACCCACAGGGGAGACGACTGGAACGATGGGCAAAACACTTCGAAAAACAGCTGAACTGGCCTCCACACAACATTACGTTGCCCACCACACAGTGGGATCCTAAATGGGACATTCAGATAGGCCCCTCAACACTAGGAGAATTCGAGAAGGCGATAAGTAATCTGAAATGAGGAAGAGAGGCAAGATCAGATGAACTTACTCCTGAGGTATACAAGGATGATGGTAGAGTGCTCTTAGTCAACTTAACGGTAGTGTTAACCAGTATGTGGGAATCAAATACGATCCCATCTGACTGGTCTAAATCACTGATTATCCGAGTCTTGAAGAACGGCGAGAGCTCCTCTTGTGGCAACCACAGAGGAATCAGCCTGACAAACATAGTGTCTAAGATACTCGCTTCTGTTATGCTTCGACGCCTGAGTGGAGCTGAGGAACAGCAAGCCCGAGAAAACCGGGCAGGCAGGCAGGCAGCCAGTCTTTAGACCTGGCTGCGGATTTATCCACCGATTATTCACACTGCTCCAGGTTTCGGAACACAGACACGCTCACCCACGCTCGATGTGGAGGCGGCATTCCACTCCATTGATTCAGAAGTCTTATGGCAATGTCTCTCATTGAAAGGCGTCCTGAGTTAGCACATCAACTCATTGAAGGCTATCTACTCGACCTCTTGCGGACGTGTTACACCCTGTGGTGAGATGTCCAGGGAGCTATGCTCATCGAGTGGTGTCCGGCAAGGGTGACCACTCAATCCATTCCTTTTCAATTTTATCATAGACATTCTCATACAGGTCTCCCTCTCATCACCTGATTACACACTAGAGTTGACCAGGTCGTAGGAGAATTTTCGTTTAACCTGAATCACGCAGGTGACATAGTCTAGTCGCGTTGGGTGAAGACGCTGACAGATGAGATGCAGAGTCTCCTACACACTTTGAGCGGCAATCTGAGAATGCTTTGACTGCGTTTATCACCACACAAATGCAAATCGCTGCTCCAGCATCGGTCTCCAACGGTGCCCCACCATGGTTGAGTGTGTAGACCACTTGAGTCGCCTAGCAAATGGAGTGGGATCAGACCTGGTGCACTGGTCAGTGGTCGAGGAAATCTCTGCACCAATGCAAAGAGTTCGTCTGGCTTTTGCCAACTTACACAACCTGGGGCACCACCGTGATATCTGATTGTCTATTCAGGGTCGCGTTTACTGCACCTGCACTGTAGTCCGCTCTGTTCCACTGTGTGGCTGTGAAAAATGGCCATGGAAAGGGGGAGAGATGAGAAGGCTGGCTTCAGGTGTTTGACCACCATCGCCTTCCTAGTATGGGCCGTATTCCGTGATGTCACCACTGGAGGAACGCAGAAGTCGGGTGTGAAGTATTATGGAGAAGAGGTAAATCAGTTGATGAGGTTATGAACCTTCATCGACTGAGATTGTTGGGACATGTGTTACGTGTGCCTAGTCACCGGTCGCCTCGTCACACAATGTTGGTCGAAGTAGGTCTAGGTAGGCAAAAGGCCTGAGGTGGCCAGTTATCAATGTATGAAGTCTGTGACTGTTGGTTTGAGTCATGCGGGGCGGTGTAGACTTGGTGGTTGGGGTCCGCGTGACAGGAGGAACCAGTGGTTGGAGATTCTAGATGAAATGACTCAGAGCTGATGTCAGTGGTGCACATGGATCCCCACACACATTATCCTCATCTTAACGACACTGTACCGAATCTCACTATTTTGTCATTCTTCCTTTCCCTCTTTTCATACTTTATATTTCTTTCGAGTGAATTTTCTCACCTTCATCTTGCGTCTCACTGCTTTTTTACTTGATGTGTTGATATGAGGTGTGTCACTTGTGACGGTTATGCAGTAATGCCTGGTGCTAGATTTATGTGGATTGGTGGATGGATGGATACATAACGACGTCATATGCCGAGTGGTTCACAACACTTTGGAAAGCTCAGTTATGCCTTGGATGTGAAAACAGCAACAAGACAAGACGCGGTTGTCGCCTTCGATCACCGATGATTTTCCTGAGTGTGGTGGACCGGATCATGCAACAGACGACTGTGAATAGTGAGAAGAGGGGCATGCACAGAATGGACCGGTGAAAAGATACCAGGAGATTTAGATTTCACCGATGATGATTTATGTGTAATGTCTAATCTCACACGAAGGTGAAATCCATCAAGTCGGCAGAAGAGGCAGAGAAGATAGGAGTCCCTTCAGGTGAACGTAGAGAAAACAGAGGTGACGAAGATACCCAAAGAACAACAATAACGGCAACGGGCATCATACACCACCGACGAGAGAAAAATGAAGGAAGTAGTCTCTTTCACCTACCTGAATAGATAGCTTCGTCTCAACTACGGGCGGCGGCACAGGCACAGATTAGAACGTCAAAGCAATCAGGATCGGAAAGACACCAAGACAGGCCTTCATTCATTAACCTGGAATCAGTGTGCATGGCAATCTACTGCACTGCACTTCACTGCACAGCACTCAGCATAAAGAGTGAACAAGATTCTGATTTTCAACATTAATGTCATTCAAGTAAGTCAGTGCTTCTATGTGATGGTTGAGAGACTCAGCGAATCACGAAAAACATTTCCAACAAACTACAAACAAACATCATCAACAGCTGCCGTCTGCGTTCACTCAAGGGGGATGATCAGAATAGCAAGAATAAGCAACAAGGAACTGTGGGTGACTTGCAACGCGCCAACCAAGTAGCTAAAGTTCATAGAATATGCAGAAGAAGCAAGTGGAGATGGACTGGATTGAACATGGACTGAGAAGATGGTGTGGGGGGCATCACGCACCAGGCCAGGCCATTGAGTGGAACCCGTACTGGAAACGGTGAGCTAGGCATCCGGGGCTAGGGTGATATAGAAAAGATGGTGTGAGGAAGAAATGAAAAGTTATAGGCAGTCATGCAGTCAAGTTCAAAAGAGTACAGAGAGGACAGTGAATTGGTGACGTACTATTGAAGCCCTATGTTGCACTAGGAACCTAAAGGACAGTTTTTGATTAAAATATTCTTCGTTCCTTGCAAAACCTTTTTAACAAGTATCAGTTTACTTATTTCACTTGAAAAAACAGTTATACAAAGAGACAATTCACCATCATCATAAAGTCTTATGACAACCAATTTTTCATTCAATTCAGTCATAGGTTTCAATTAGAAAATACTCAACTCAAAATTACTGTAGAATAGTTCTCACTTTTATCTTACTCTTATATGTCCTCAATGATATCTTAGTAGGCTGCTTTCACATGTGAAATCTTTCACCTTATTTGAATTAAAGATTTTAATTGAAATTCATCAATATTCTTTCTTTATATGATTTAAGAAGAAAAAAGTTGATTTATGCTAATAAAATACAATGTCTTATGCGCTTACATGCTTAACCCATTATTATTCATTGCCTTTTCATGATGTAGGACAACTGGATCCCATTCCAGGTGAAGAAATTCTGTAATGGATTAAAATGTTATATATTATAACGTTTTTAATTTTGAATATGCCCAATTGTACAGTTACTAGAAGATATCTGTCCTCATGGCCATCAGGCTTTAACTCTACCGGTCACGACATCTCTCTCTAAACGAATATGCAGAAGGAAGTGGAGAGGAACTAGATTGGGTATGCAGTGAGAAGACCATTTGGGGACATCACGTGTCAGGCCAGGTCAGGCCAGGTGGTCGATTGGAATCCGAAGGGGAAACGACGAGTTGGGTGTTCGAGGTGAGGGTGAAATGGAAGACATCGTGTTTGCGGTTGAAAAGACTGCAGAGAAGAGAGTGCAATTAAGCCGTGCTACTGAAGGCCTATGTTCCACCAGGAACCCATGAAGTAAATAATAATAATGACAAATAATCCTATTTATCATCATGTTATCCAAAAATCAAGCTTATATGTTATCTGTATGACCTATCATTAAGTCTGATCAATTGGCTACACCAAAATCTTCTTTCAAATTCCCTTTCAACTCACATCAAACATTTTGTTAGGAGTGCGGATTCACCACCTAAACGTCTGATGCAGTAGTTATCGTAAAAAATCATGGGTTGATCAGTATACACATTTCCGATCATTTGTCCTCCTACGTAAAAAAGGAATTCAATCCATTCACTGAGATTTCGAGTCTGTAAGATTTGCATAGCTGATACTATGAACCATGAACTAAGAATAATAAAGAACTCCTTATATGAGAATGGCTATCCTGAAAGGTTTGTAAAGACTGTAACAATCAAAAATGTTGGAGAAAAGTACCTTCAAATGGTGCCGAAGAAATGATTGTATCTAACCTTAAGGTTCAAAACAGATGCGACTGCAGAAATACTTACACTGAAACTCAGAAATCTGATACAAAAAACCTTCTTTGTCGCCATACTATATGTTTGAAATTTACTACACACTGTATGATACCAATGCAGTTGAAGGATACGCTTCCGAATCTGAACACATCTATGTGCTTCTGTGGAGATAGTTACATCGGTAGAACGACTAGGCAAGCCCATCATCGCTGCATTGAACACTTTCCAGTGTGGTTAGTTAGGCAAAGCAACAGTGAAATCCATAGCAGAAGCCATAGCAATAAAATTTTTCATAACTCAATAAATATATTCACAAGATGTTTTCTCGTCCCCTTTCCCTCCTATAGCCTTCAACTTCAACCTAGATACAATTACAGTAAATTCCTTCTCGGTCAGGTGGATAAGTGTAAATATCATCTGTGTTTGTACTCTTATAATTATCATTTTATTTTTCGTCCTTAGTTTCATAATTGATTATGAATTTTAACATTTTATTATCTAGTCGCTATGCGATAATCATAACAACCTGAAATATTTCCAAATCTCCACAACTCTCTCAAAATTCAATTGAACTGGTACTCATTGGTGACTAGCTTCGAGAAGTATTCCCGAAGTTCCAATGAGAAGTCGTCACCGGTAGAGTCAAAGCCTAGTAGAAGATAGATTGATTATGTGTGAAAGTATAAAATGTATACAAAATTGATCAACTTGTAGGATGTAAGATCTTCATACTCATTTACGATCGGGTGAATACATCTCAGTGTTCAACATTCAAAAAAAGAATGGCGATGATTTCGAGTGGCTAAGTAGTGGAATCTAGGATGTGGATTTCATCGTCTTCGAGACTAAACAGCTTGATGTACCTGCCTCTCAATGAGTAAAGTTGTTCTGACTAAAACATGAAACCTAAGATAAATCGCTACAAACGTCACTGGGGTACTGAGTAACTAAAGCTTCTCCTTGCATGATAGATATAGTATAGCTAAAATGTTTCAATTGCTAACAAATGGTCAATAAACGCTGTTGATTAGATCTGTGTGTAATGTTCTAATCTCCACTCATATAAACAAGTGAAGAGTTGAATAAAACTTCTCAATCAGTCTTTAAACTACATTAATACGCAATTGTTGGTCAAAATCGAACTAAAATCAGATAATTACTTGGATTTCATTGTTTTGATAGTACATAGCTAAATCAGTATTGTTTACGTACAATACGTGGACCAATCATATGGCTGCATGTGATTCTTCACAGCACTGACTGAAATTGAATTTGAAGGTTTGTAGAGATTTATTGCTTTCAAGTTGGTATTCATTATGCACTGACATCAATTAAGAGAGCAATGGAAAACTGGGAGTATTGAATACCTATTTTGTCCTTATATGATACTCCCCAGCAGTGTGCAGCCATGACCCCAACCCACCAAGGATTGAACCCAGGGCCTTCGGGTTCCATGGCCAGCATGTTACCATGTTCTAAGTTCTATCCCAGGTGGTGTTATGAGTGAGCACTGCCGGGGAGTCCCATCCTAGGAAGACAGAATAGCTGTTCAGTTCTCACAGGTTTCTAATGTTCCTCCGACTAATATCAGTCCATGACAAATATGAACTTAGAAAAAAAATTACTGAAATCTCTAAATTATAAAGTCAGTCTATTGATGAAGATTATTCCGGATAGTCTAGTAAACCTAATAATGTGCTTGAACACATTTTACTTCAAGGAGATGGAAATTCACGGAAATCTTACGCAAATATTAGTCCTAACCGTGATCACATGATATATATATATATATATAATTTCCAAAGTTTGGCCTGGTCAAATGCTGTGGTAAAGCAATGAAAATCGCATTAGCTATATCTACATAAACACTCAAGAAAAGTATTTATTACTGAAAGTGGCATATTAGATCCATCATTTGTTATATCCCATAGCTCAGTCACTGTACTAATACATCTAAGTCCCTTTGATCGTTGAGGTGAACAATCCAGAAACTTATACTTGGTGTCAACTTTTATCAGTAAACATGAATAGGAAAATCTATTCACCGACCAACCTTGTGGTAGTTAATTCTAAAAACATTCAAATTAGTTCTCAGCTGAACAAACTACTTGAATGAAAAGTCATAAAAGTTATCTATCCATATTGTAATTATTTTGGCCATATGTAGACGAGTTCACTACACTTTTTATCTGATATTTACTTGGTGGACATATGAAATAACCATCAATTGTTTATGCAGAGACTGTTTAAAATGTAATCATTTTCATTGACTACAAAAGAATAGCTGAGATGTATAACCATTCAAAAGATTTATCAGATAAATAGATGAATTCAGATGACATGATGAAACTATATTCCAAGATAATTCATCAATCTGTCATTTCCTAACTTTCATACCAAGAATCTATCTGAACTCAGCCTGTTCATCTGAGTGCACTAATGATCATTCTCTGTCGATGACAATATTTCACCAAACATTCTGTTTCTGCGTCATATTATTTACTAGAAATTATTTCTCTCTCCTTACGCTTTTTTTTTTTACCGTTATCTAATTTTTATGACAATACACATGACGCTGTACTTACTCCGTTTACATTTGGTAGACAACCAGTCAACTGTCATGTTTTACTGTCACCTGTCAAACGAGTTAATCTTCTAAGAGATGCTTCATGTCTAACTTGTGTTGTCTTTATTGTTCTTGATGTATAGTGATGAAAATGACTTATCCACATACAATCAACTATACAATTGATTGAAAATAGCCTGGTTAGATGAAACTTCATTGTTGCCATTTTGTGTGATCGGAAACTGTAATGCAGGGTATTATCGATAACTATATCACGTACAAAAATTGAAATCTTAAAGTAGTTTGCACCAATTTACTGTCCAGCACTACGAAAAGAAGTAGAATAACAAGACAACTAGTGGGGAAAATCAGTCCAACTAAGAAATGTAGAAAAGTCTGTCTGATGTTGCTTGATACCATTACAGCTACTTTGAAGATAAAATACTCATAACTTACCGAATAATTGACCCAATATCTTTGTCGGTTTCAGTACCAATGATTCATATTTGATAGTTTTACATCTTTTAGAGCCAACTATTTCACATTGATGTAAAAATTGACTAACGCGTTTCTCCCATGCTAAAAATTTATCCAGTGTATTATTAGGTGATCCTCTAATTCTAACATTTCGTCTGAAATATTCAGGAAATAAATAAATTCACTGTGATTAAAGTATTACTTTGTTTCGGTCAATTCATCAGTAATTAACATTTTAATTTTCAGTAACAGCTATGGAATATATATATATAAGCAGTATTCATCACGGACTGAGACTGGTTGGGGAACCATTGGAAATCTGGGAGCACTGGATAGCTGTTTCGTCATAGTATGGGACTCCTAAGCAGTACGCACCCACGACCCGACTAAGCATCGGACTCACGACCTTCAGGTTTCACGACGAACGAGCCAACCATCCAGTCAATGGGTTGGTTTTCCAGTTGTTCGCAATTTCACATACTAGGACGAAACAGCTATCCAGTGCTCCCAGGTTTTCAATGGTTCCCCAACTGATGTCAGTCCATGATGAATACTACTTCTAAATTAAAAATTTCCCATCTATCTTAAAAATAAATATATATGTATCATTATTTTGATGGTAGAAGACCGAAAACACACTGCAGTACAACAACTTCACGGAGAAATGAAGAAAATTACTCGATGACTATTCTGAAGAAGAATGGCTACCCACGAAACTCCTTCTACTATACATAAAGCACATATCAGAGATCACGACAAGACTACTGAAACCACTTGAAATTGCTGTGGCTCACAAAACCTACTCTCCAGACCAAATTACGCAACAACCAAAGAAGACCAACACAACATCATTTAAAAAATCAACCGCAACAATTTTAATCAACACTATAATGGACAAAATGGTCGCTCTCTTCGCCTTCGTCTACATGAACACCTACTGGGTAATAAATGTCAAGACATTTCGTCACTCATTTCCATGCATGTGGATAACAACTATGGACATGAATTCAATTTCGACAATGTAGAAATCTTGGACGGAGTGAGGAAACATAAACAATATCATAGAACTTCTAGAAGTTTGGCATTCAGGTCAGTCAAAAGTCAATAGGTGTATGGACATAGACCCAATCTACCAACCAATAAGAAAGATGATAAATGACAGAAAGGTCAGAGATCAAACAGAGGAACAGTTAACGGGAACGTCTATGCAGTCAATGACACAACAATCAAAGGAAACAACCAATCATATACCACTTCGTCAAGGCAAGCTACAGAGATGATGAAGCTAGTTGCTAAGATGCCCTGGCCAACTGATGAGAAGCCGCTGAAATGGGCATAGAAATTTTAAATCATCGATGAATGAGACAGAAATTATTACTCTTTGGATTACATTCCGTGCTTCTTTGTAGTCTGGATAAATCTTAATGAACAACTACATACTTCATGAACGCAATTCGAAAAAGTTATTTTACCTTTGAACTATTACACTAGTATTTTTGTCGAATGAAGTTGTCTTTGCAGTTACAGACTAGTCCTTGCCTTCTGATATTTATCACCTTAGTGAACAATTGTTACCATGCAGTATCTTATTGTGTTCAGTATCGTTATATCCTAGACGTCTTATTTCACATGTTCTCTTTAAATAAAGAAAACTTGGATGTCTTTTCAATCCAGTGTTACAAGCAGTCAAGCATTTTCATGCTGCTACTCAGATAATTACTCATACTTCAATGTTATCAAATTAATTTTTTTAATGTTTATGCTTTACAAAAAATTTCATAGTGAAACATTTCTGGTGTCGCATTTCCTGAATTGAGTAATTTGGCGACTCTTGCTAAATTGTCTGAATAACAGTGAGTAACCTAAGTATTACTGATTCGATTTAAAGGTAAACGTTAGTAGATTTGAATGACTTTCACGGTCGACCTGGGAATCATGAAAACGGTCAGTCAGGTGTATTCATTTAGGCTGAAATACAAATTATTATTCAATGCTATTTGTATTATCATCACTATTGATATAGGATCAGGCGTTACTGCATAACCGTCACAAGTGACACACCTCATATCAACACATCAAGTAAAAAGGCAGTAAGGCGCAAGATGAAGGTGAGAAAATTCACTCGAAAGAAATATAAAGTATGAAAAGAGGGAAAGGAAGAATGACAAAATAGTGAGATTCGGTACAGTGTCGTTAAGATGAGGATAATGTGTGTGGGGATCCATGTGCACCACTGACATCAGCTCTGAGTCATTTCATCTAGAATCTCCAACCACTGGTTCCTCCTGTCACGCGGACCCCAACCACCAAGTCTACACCGCCCCGCATGACTCAAACCAACAGTCACAGACTTCATACATTGATAACTGGCCACCTCAGGCCTTTTGTCTACCTAGACCTACTTCGACCAACATTGTGTGACGAGGCGACCGGTGACTAGGCACACGTAACACATGTCCCAACAATCTCAGTCGATGAAGGTTCATAACCTCATCAACTGATTTACCTCTTCTCCATAATACTTCACACGTCACTTCGAAGTTACTCGTATGGTGACATCACGGAATATGGCCCATACTACGAAGGCGATGGTGGTCAAACACCTGAAGCCAGCCTTCTCATCTCTCCCCCTTTCAATGGCCATTTTTCACAGCCACACAGTGGAACAGAGCGGACTACTGTGCAGGTGCAGTAAACGCGACCCTGAATAGACAATCAGATATCACGGTGGCGTCCCAGGTTGTGTAAGTTGGCAAAAGCCAGACGAACTCTTTGCATTGGTGCAGAGATTTCCTCGACCACTGACCAGTGCACCAGGTCTGATCCCACTCCATTTGCTAGGCGACTCAAGTGGTCTACACACTCAACCATGGTGGGGCACCGTTGGAGACCGATGCTGGAGCAGCGATTTGCATTTGTGTGGTGATAAACGCAGTCAAAGCATTCTCAGATTGCCGCTCAAAGTGTGTAGGAGACTCTGCATCTCATCTGTCAGCCTCTTCACCCAACGCGACTAGTCTATGTCATCTGCGTGATTCAGGTTAAACGAAAATTCTCCTACGATCTGGTCAACTCGTGTGTGTAATCAGGTGATGAGAGGGAGACCTGTATGAGAATGTCTATGATAAAATTGAAAAGGAATGGATTGAGTGGTCACCCTTGCCGGACACCACTCGATGAGCATAGCTCCCTGGACATCTCACCACAGGGTGTAACACGTCCGCAAGAGGTCGAGTAGATAGCCTTCAATGAGTTGATGTGCTAACTCAGGACGCCTTTCAATGAGAGACATTGCCATAAGACTTCTGAATCAATGGAGTGGAATGCCGCCTCCACATCGAGCGTGGGTGAGCGTGTCTGTGTTCCGAAACCTGGAGCAGTGTGAATAATCGGTGGATAAATCCGCAGCCAGGTCTAAAGACTGGCTGCCTGCCTGCCTGCCCGGTTTTCTCGGGTTTGCTGTTCCTCAGCTCCACTCAGGCGTCGAAGCATAACAGAAGCAAGTATCTTAGACACTATGTTTGTCAGGCTGACTCCTCAGTGGTTGCCACAAGAGGACTTCTCGCCGTTCTTGAAGACTCGGATAATCAGTGATTTAGACCAGTCAGATGGGATCGTATTTGATTCCCACATACTGGTTAACACTACCGTTAAGTTGACTAAGAGCACTCTACCATCATCCTTGTATACCTCAGGAGTAAGTTCATCTGATCTTGCCTCTCTTCCTCATTTCAGATTACCTATCACCTTCTCTAATTCTCCTAGTGTTGACGGACCTATCTGAATGTTCCATTTAGTATGCTACTAGGAAGTGGGCAACGCAATGTTATCTGGAGGCCAGTTCAGCTGTTTTCGAAGTGTTTTGCACATCGTTCCAGTCGTCTCCCCTGTGGGTGAATTGCAGATCAGTACTTTCCGCTATAGCCTCATAAACCACTGGTAACCTTTTCTCCCCACTTTCCTATGTAAGTCTGAATAACTGTCTACTGTCACCAGTCGCAACAGGTCTTGCCATCTCTCTAACGTCCAACGTCCACCACTGTTCGCAGTCACTGAGCAGACTTTTCTCAATCTACTTTTAATATGGGTTCGCTCTTCATTGTACTTGGGGCCTGCAGGGATGCATTCACGTGCATCCATTAGTTTGGAGGAAGTTGCTGATATCCACTGGCCTTTTCTTGGCCACTCTTCTGCAGTCGGCTACGTTCTTCAGCGCTGCTTTGACAGCAGACTCAAGATGGCACCAAGCTTCTTTTCGATGAGTGATAGTCGTTTGTTCCGATAACTGCCTAGCCAATTTCTCGATGAACACGGCTCTGGTGTTTACGTTGTTCAGCAGCACTCGTAGTGGCTTTGTTACCAAATTATACTTACATCCATTGAGACGCAGACATGTGCGCATTCTGACCAACGCGTTGTCGCTATCCAAACACGTACTGCAGAAGGAGGTTCAGTCTTCCATCGATGATCTCCAGCGATGACTGATAGTAATGTGGTCTATCTGTGTCCATCACTGAGTTGAGCTTGGTGGACGCCACAACAGACAGTGTCTTTATAGATGTTTGAAATTTGCGCTAGCTAAACATAGGCGGTTATGTGAGCACAGTTGTAGTAGGTGATCACCGTTATCTGTTCATTCATCCGAGACTGCAAAAGTGCCATCTTAGTGGCTTTCTGTCTCACTCAGTGTATCCACCTGTGCATTGAAGTCACCTGCAACAACCACCACGTCTTAAGGTCCACATCGTGGTAGGTTATTTCTTCTTAAGTTACATGAAAGAGATTTGTGTGACTGCAGACCTCGTCGGACATCTGCTTGAGGTCTGCCACTATCAGTCTTTAGTGTATGGTTGTTTTAAACGCTTGTAGTTTTATGTTCAGATGGTCGAAAATAAGTGAGAAATGAACGAACACGGCCTGACTGGCAGACCATGGGGTATGTGGTGGAGTGTGTTATTTTCGGATCCGATCTTCCTAACCCCCTCCCACCGTTCGATTAAGAAGGCAGTATGAGCATGGCACTGCTGGTCATCTGTGGGAAACACTTTACTGTTGTCACACTCCATCCAGCTGGTAGCAGTACGACTTCGCCTTCAGATTTCCACCATAATGTAGTAATTTACACCACAATGGTAACTGGTTTTCGTCTAACCAT